TTTAATCCGTCAAGCTACCTGGGCTACCGGACTACTGCACCCTGTCTTTCTGCTGGTCTAGCTGTTCCAGGGTTTTTCCTGGGACTATATCTTCTGGGCTTTCAGAGATTAATAAGGGATGGTGAGAGTGACTTGCTTCTTACTCTGCCATCTTGGCTCCCTGTGCCAGGTACTATGCTAAGTGCTTTATAAATATCTCATTTGATCCTCACGACTATCCTGGGGGGTAGGTGCTATTATTATCCTCATTTTACAGTTAAAGAAACTGAGGCAGACAAAGGTTAAGTAACTTGCCCAGGGTCACACAGCTAGCAAGTATCTGAGACTGGATTTGGACTCAAGTCTTCCTGAATGTAGAGTCCTCTATCCATTGCACCACCTTGCTACTTCTGAAATGCATCAACCTTCTTCTTTCTCCTCTGCCCACAACCCGATATACACATTTTCCGGGAGAAAGTTCCCTTCCCAGGGTTCAGGCCAGTGCTTTGCTTCCTGGCACAGAGAGAGTTTCATATCTGGCCTCTGGGAAGCTATGGACATAGGTCTCTCAGGCTTCCACTATCATATGAGTAAACAAAACTGTATTCATCTGCATGGGCCTGGGTAGGAACAGGGACCTGGGTGGAGTGTGGTGATACCCTGAAACCAATACATCAGTATCTGTGCAAACATAGTCATATACAGAAGGAAGTTTGTTTTTGATTTGGTAAAGGAAATGGGGATGTTTAACTTAGAGAAGAAAAGAGGGTATGGATGGGGCTCAGGTTCAGGACAGGATCCCTCTCTTCAAGAACTGGAAGGGCTGCCATGAAGACAGATTAGATTTGTGCTTTATGCTTGAGGGCGGAATGAGAAGCAATATGTTAAAGCTGCAGATAAGTGGGTTTTTGGCTCTACATAAGGCAAAACCTAATGATCAGAGCTCTCCCAAAGTGACGTAAGTGGGCTGTTCTAGATTATAGTGGGGTCCTCATCACTAAAAGGGACTAGCAGAAGCTGGGTGGCCACTTGTTGGGGGTGATGTAGAAGGGAGTCTTCCTTAGGTGGGCCTCCTCCCAACCCTGAGGTTCTGTGATGCCAAGATGGATACAACCCTAAAGCACCTGTCGCTCACCTGAATAGGTGTGATGCATTACTCCTGTCACTGGTGAGTTGCTCATGGCATGGACTCAGCAGAGTCACCTAGTAGTGGTCAGTGATGCAGCTTGATTCACAGATGGCATCCATGGCAATTGGCTTGACTGGGCCCACTACAAATTAATGTTACATAACTTCAGCTGGGCCCTCACTGCTGCTAGGAAATCCTTTTACATCCTCTTAAATGCTTTACTCTCTCATACACCACAGTTGCTTTTCCATAACTTTTAATCCATCCTCAAATATTCTCATGGCTCTCTCCCCTCCTCTTTCTACCTCAGCTGAAGACTATGCTTCATATTTCACTGAAAAAATTAGGCCATTCACTGAGAGCTTTTTCTTCAGGCCTCCTTCTCATCTCACGTCACCCCGATATCTACCCCCACTATCTCTTCCTTTAACTTTGTCTCCCATGAAAAGGTCCTTCTCTCTGCCAAGGCAAACCTATCTACATATGCTCCTGATTCCATTCCTTTCCATCTTTTCTAGCAAGTTGCTACCTCTATCATTCTCATTCTCTCTTATCTTTGATGCTTCCCTGTTTATTGGTTGTTTCCCTGTTGCCTACAAATATGTCCCTATCTCCCCCATCCTCAAAAAATTCTCACTTGATCTATCCATCCATCTCTACTACCTATCTTTATATATTTCTCATTTTGTGGATAAGCTCCTTGAGAAAGCTGTCTATGACTGGCACCTCCATTTCTCTTAACTCTCAATAGTCTGGCTTCTGATCTTACCATTCAATGAAAATTATTTTCTCTAAAGTTACTATAATCTCTTAATTGACAAATCTAATGGATTTTTCCCAATCTTCATCCTTCTTGCTTTAACCTTAGCCTGTGACACTGCTGATCACCCTCTTCTCCATACTCTCTTCTCTCTAGATTTTTGTGACATTGGTTCCTCCTGGATTTCCTCCTCCCTGTCTGACAGTCTCCTCTGCTGGATCTTAGCTAACAACGAACATCTCTCAAGCCTTTGTCCTGGGCTCTCTTCTCTTCTCTTCTCTTCTCTTCTCTTCTCTTCTCTTCTCTTCTCTTCTCTTCTCTTCTCTTCTCTTCTCTTCTCTTCTCTTCTCTCTTTCTCTTCTCTTCTCTTCTCTTCTCTTCTCTTCTCTTCTCTTCTCTTCTCTTCTCTTCTCTTCTCTTCTCTTCTCTTCTCTTCTCTTCTCTTCTCTTCTCTTCTCTTCTCTTCTCTCTCTATTATTTCACTTGGTGATTTCGTCAGCTCCCATTGATTCAATTATTATCTCTGTGTAGATGATTCTCAGATCTGTTTGTACAGCCCTAACCTGTATCCATTTTCACCTCTCCAATTGTCTATTAGATATCTCTCTGGGGAAACAATATGTATGCATGTAAGTATAAATCATAGGTATTCAAAAATAAATATATGGAATTTCATAAGTATTTGGTAAGTGATTGTTGAACTGAATCATAGAATCTCTGAGTTGGATGAAACTTCAGGAATCATTCAGTCCACTTCCCTCATTTATAACCCATACCTGTATCAGAATCTCCTTCACAACACTCCCCAATTAGATGTCATTTAGACCCTGCTAGAAGACTTCCTGGAGCAGCCTATTGCACTGCAGAATAGGACTAATTGTCAGTAAGTAGTAGCTTCTTATAGGCGGTCAAATCTGCTCCTAGCTCTGCCTTGAAAGCCCTAGAAAAATGAGCCTCATCCCTTTTACCCAAGACGGCCTTTCAAATACTTGAAGACTGTGGCCAATTTCCTATTAAATCTTCTTCTCTCCATACCACCCCCCCACAAAAGCTAAATATCCCCAGTTCTCTCAGCTGATCATGATGGGGACAAATTCTCTAATTTTCTTACCTTCCTAGTCATAAGTCCCTTAGACTGTCTCCAGGTTGTCACTGTTTCCTCACATGTGGTGCCCAAAAGTTAACACAGTACTCTAAGTATGGTCTGCCCAGGGTAGAGCACAGCAGGACTGACCTACCTCCCATGTTCTAAGTATGACATTCTGTTAACACAGCCTAAGATCACATAAGAAGGGTTAGAGAGCAGCATGTCTGAAAAAGATCTGGAGGTATTAGTGGACTGCAAGTTCAATATGACTAAACAATGGGACATAGTCTACAAAAAGTTAACATTAACCTGGAGCTACATTCAAAATCCAGGCATGAGGAGGTGACCATCCTGCCACACCCAGCCCTGGTTGGACTATGGTGTGCGGTTCTGGGCACTACAGTTTAGGAAGGACATGGGTAAGCTGGGAAGCACTCAAAAGGACAGCCTGGATGACGAAGGGCCTTGAATTCATGTGATGTGAGCATTTAGGTGAAAGAATTGGGGAGGATTAATCTGAAGAAGAATTGGCTGAGTTGGGGAGGGGGGAGTATGTCAGCTATCATCAAATATTTGGAGGATCATCATATGAAAGAAGGGTTAGATTGATTCTGTTATTGTTTGTGCTTTGTTCTCGAAGAAGACCATGACATCAGGGAGGTGACACCATGACATGCAGGTGAATAGGATTTAAGTAAGGGAGGCTGTGCAGTCACCAGCCTCACTTTCTCCTCTGAGCCATCTGGGCCCAGTGGGCAGATATGGATCAAGACAAACAGAGATGGCCCAGGATGAGGTAGGGGCCGATCTATTCTGTTAGGCCCCAATGAGCAGAACCAGGAATAGGGCAGGGAGAGAACAGGGACATTCACGTGGGTTAGATGGCCACTGAGATCTCTTCTTTTTCTCAAATTGTGTGATTCTTTGATGCTACAAGTGGCCAGAAGTAAAATTTTGGCTTGCTATGAGGAAAAGCTCCTTAACTTTGGAGCTGTCCCAAGCTGAGGAATCTGTACTTTATCCTAGAGTCATCAGAATTTCTGGAGGGGAAGAGTAACCTCGTGAGAAGCACGCTTCAGGATAAAGCCTAATGCCATCCCCTCTTAGTTTGGAGAGACTCAGGTGGGAGGTGGGATTTCTTGTGAGGGAGACGCTGTGGTTACTTACCACCACCACTACCACCACCACCTCAGGCCTGCTGACCTTGAGGACAGCTTTCTCTGACATCGAGGCTAAAGCTCCCTGACGCGATAAACTCACATTCCTTTGTATGGTTCTAGAGGCATCCCTAGAGTCTTCTCAAAGGATTTGGAGCTGGAAGGGACCTTAGAGTCCACTCACCCATCCCTATGCTACAGATGGGGAAACTGAGGTTTAGAGAGATGAAGTCAGTCAACAAGTATTTATTAAGTATATCTCAAGCACTGCACTGAATGCTGAGGAAGGAAATTAAGGCACATCATGGTCTCTGCTCTCAAGGACAGCATTCTTATTTTCTAATGGGGCAGACAACAGGCAAACAACTACTTACACACATGACATAGACAATGAAAATGGAAAGTGATCTAAGAGAAAGCACAAGGAAAGTGACTTGTCCAAGGTCACACAGCTTGTGAGTGGTAAAGCCAAGATTTGGACTCAGGGTATCAGGCTCCAATTTCAGTGCTCTTTCTACTATGCTAGATTGTTATATGGGTTTCTTCTTGGAAGATGAAAAGCAAAACAAAACAAAACAGAACCCCAACAACAATAATAAAAAGAAATAAGGATCTGAGCCAGTGTGGGTAGGAAAAGGCCAGAGCTGCGGAAGAGGCCCAGAGGGAAGGCTCTCCAGAGTTCAGTGTGAAAATCGCCCCCATAGCCAGGGAGGGCCCCAGCCCTCTCAAGATTACTCTCTGGACCTGGGAGTGGGAGCTAAGTGTCTCCGATAAGGATTCCAGCCTTTTCGGATAATCTGGTTTTACTAGCTGACTCTGTGTTTACTGCGGTTTCCCTGCCTGGACTGGGATGGGAGGAATTTCAGGAACAGAAAAACAGAGGCCTACCAGTATCTCCTCTTCTTCCAGGTTTTCCACGCCTCCCTGGGGGTCCTGTGAAAATGATAGACAAGAAGGATTATTTAGTTATGAAACAAAGTCAGTGGGCCCAGACACGGACCAGCCTTGACCTGCCCTCCCTCCCCCACCCCATCTTCCCTCTGGCTTAAGCTTCTTCCTGGCAAACCAGCTGGGAAAGTGCTTCTGGGCCAGATCTTCCCAGCAGCCCAAAGGACTAGTCTCCCTCTGGGAGAGGGGGCAAAGGTAAGGGAGAAAAATGCCCCCTTTCTAGTTCACTGTCATCCCCAGGAAACTTTTCCCTCATGTTCACACCCCTTCGGCTGCAGTTATGTTATGGAGCTCTTAGCTCCAATCCCCCTTCTTTCTCACCAAAGTCAACCCCCAAACTCTCTAGACACAGGGAAGAGTTGAGGTGTAATTGATAGAGACCAGCTTTCAGAGTCAGAGGAACTGGGTTCAAGTCCTGACTCTGACACATCCTGACTATGTGACCCCTGGCAAAGAAATTTGACCTCTGGGGTAGGGGGGAGTTGGGAAATTCTCTAAGACTATGAATTGCAAGGCAGATGTTGGTCTGTATTGGGAAAGGAATTTCATCCTGGGGTGTTCCCTCTACCAATAAAATCATATGGCAAAAAATGTAATACTCCCCAGAGACACCCCAGAAGGGCCACTCTTATGAAGATGACGGATATGGACATGGACTCATTTTTCTTTTTAAAACATGTTTCCCTGGGGAAAGTCTCCTAAGATTGGGATTGGTGGCATCATATAAGGAAATGAAGGTTTCTAGGATTTGGAACTACTAGGGACCTTTAAGATCATTTGGTCTCTCTCTCTTCTTTTTTTAAATGGTATTTTATTTTTTTCCAATCATATGTAAAGACAATTTTAAACATTCATTTTTACAAAATTTTGAGTTCCAAATTTTTCTCCCTCCCTTCCTCCCCTTTACTCTTCCTAAAATGGTAAGCATTTTGATATAGGTTATTTATGTGCAATCATGTAAAACATACTTCCTTATTGGTCATATTGTGAAAGAAGAAATAGATCAAAAGAAAAAACATACACACAAAATCAAGACAGTGAAAATAATATTCTTTGATCTGCATTCAGAACCCATCAGTTCTTTCTCTGGATGTGGATAGCATTTTCCATCATGAGTCCTTTGGAATTGTCTTGGATCATTGTATTGCTGAGAAAAGCTAAGTCTATCATAGTTGATCATCACACAATGTTGCTGTTTCTATAGACAATGTTCTCGTAGTTCTACCCATTTCACTTTGCATCAGTTCATGTAAGTCTTTCCAGGTTTTGATGAAATCTGCCTGCTCGTCATTTCTTATAGTACAAGAGTATTCCACTATAATCATATACAACAACTTACTCAGCCATTCCCCAGTTGATGGACATCCCCTCAATTTCCAATGTTTTGCTACCACAAAAAGAGCAGCTATAAATATTTTTGTGCATGTGGGTCCTTTTCCCTTTTTGAGATCATCTATTCTCTTGCTATCATTTTATAGAAGAAGAAAATATATGAGGCCAAAAGAGGAGCAGTGTTTGCTCAGCCTCACACAGGAAAACAACAGGCAGAGTCAGGATTCAAACCCAGGTCCCTAATTCTAGAATCCATACATTTTCAAAGATGCATCCTGCCCCAGCAGCCTGGGTCCCACCTCTGCATCTGGCCCTCTTTTCTGGGATACTACAGGACATGGAATTCCTTTGTTCCATTTTTTAATTGTGTATGGAAGTTATGCCATGTTCCCCTGTATTTAAGGACTAGTCACAAAGGAAGTTCTGTCAGTAACCAGCAGAACACAAGCTCCTCCGGGGCAGGGACTGTCTTTTATCTCTCTTCATATCTCCAGTGGTTAGCACAGTGCCTGGCACATAGTAGGTGCTTAACAACAACAACAACAAATAATAATAATAGCAACTAGCATTTTACATAGCCTTAGGAGGTTTACAAAGGGCAGCTAGTTGGCGCAGCGCACAGAGCGCCAGGCCTGGAGTCAGGAAGACTCCTTTCTCTTTCTGAGTTCAAATCTGGCCTCAGACACTTACCAGCTGTGTGACCCGGGCAAATCACTTAACCTTGTTTGCCTCAGTTTCTTCATCTGTATAATGAGCTGGAGAAGGAAATGGCAAATCACTCTAGTATCTTTGCCAAGAAAAACCCCACATGGGGTCACGAAGAGTCAGACACGATTGAAACAACTGAACAACGACAACAAAGACTTCATAAAGCCCCATGAGGTTTACAAAGTGCATTTTAAGTATCTCATTTGATACTCACAATAACCGTGGGAGACAGATGCTATTATTACCTCCATTTTACAGAGGAGGAGCTGAAGCAGACAGGGTTAGATGACTTGTCCAGGGGCACACACCTAGTAGGTATCTCAGGCTGGATTTGAACTCATAATCTTTTGAAGGTAGGCCCAGTACTCTATCTACTGCACTAGCTGTCCAACAGGTTTTTGTTAAACTGGCTAAGTAGCTGATAATTCTTACTGCCAGGGCAATGATAACTCATATTTCTATAGTGCTTTTGTGTACAGGGGGGTCAGGGGTGGGGTGGGAAGTGGGGACTTGGGATTTCATAGATATAGAGAATGATCAGTAAGTAAACTTCCTCTGCCAATCCAAACTGGCAACTGATACAGTGAAGAGAACATTAGCTCTGGAGTCAAAAGATCTGTGTTCAAATCCTGATTCTTATGCTTAGTACCTATATGACTCTGGGCAATTTCCTGGGCCTCAGTTTCTTCAGTTATAAAATGAGGGCACTGTACCAGATGGTTTTTGAGGTCTCTCCCAGCTCTGTACCTACAAACTGTTCTGTGACTTGTAGTTATAGAATCTTCTAAGGACGTTGAAAGGCTCAGTGACTTTTCTTGCTGTTGTTCAGTTGTTTTCAGTCATGTTCAACTCTTCGTGACCCCATTTGCAGCCTTCTTTACAAAGATACCAGAGACCTTTGCCATTTTCTTCTCCAGCTCATTTCATAGATGAGGAAACTGAGGCCAACAGGGTTAAGTGACTTGCCCAAGGTCACACAGCTAGAGTTTGTCTGAGGCTGGATTTGAATTTGGGTCTTCCTGATTCCAGACCCAGCTCTTTGTGTACTATGGTGACACCTAGCTGTTCCAACTAATTCATATCAGAGGTAGGACCTGAACCTAGGTCTTTCTTACTTAGAGACCAGATCTCTTTCCACTATACCATAATGCCTCTCATAGCACTTTATAGTTTACAAAGAACTTTGCTTCCAACAATCCTATGAGCAAGGTAGTATGTTATTATTCCCATTTTACAGATAGGCAAACTGAGGCTAGGAAGAGTAAAGTGACTCATAGTCACACAGCTAGGAGGTGTTAGAACCAGAACTTGAATTCAGGTCATCAGACTCCTAGTTTAGGGCTCTTTCATTATACCAGGGCTAATAAAATGTAAGCTCCTTGTCTTTGTGTCCCAGGGCCTAGCATAGTATTGGACACATAGTGGAGATTTAATAAGAGCCTCTTGGATTGAAGTGGAAATACACCCCTGCTGACCAGTCATGGTTAGTTTCTAATCACTAGTCTTTCAGAGTCAGACAGGTGGGGACAGTAATGGGATGTGAGCACAGATCGGGTGTTTTTCTTGTAGTGAATGAGACCCCAACTTTCAACCATAAGGACAACCAGGCACAAAACTCCCCCACCCTTTGTTCTCTGCCCAGGAAACGTGTCCCAGAGGTTTCAGCCTAGCCCCTGTGCTTCTCCTCCGATTGATGTGTTTGAAACGTAGGGAAGAGAAGCTGGTGAGCCTGAGGAAGGAGAATGGGCCTCAGCATCAAAGTTGCCAGCTTGGATGGCGCAGCCAGTGGCCCCCTGAGCAGGGCTGCTACTGACCTTTTAACTCGATCCAGATGGAAAAAAATCCTTCTTCCGGGAGGTGGCTGAACTAATGGATTTGTTAGGCCTATTCTCCTTTGGTGGCACATTTTTACCTAGAAAAGACGGCCTGATGGCAACTCAGAGCCACATGTCTGTGCTGGGGAGAAGGGGTTCCCTCTAAAACCTAAAACAAACCCCCAGGTTCCCCTTCCCCTTCCCCCTTACTCCTCCCCTAGACAAGATACAGTCAAGGCAGTCTGGACAGGGCCCAGAGAGATGCACCAGGAAGCTGACAAAGGTGTCTCAACCTAATACAAAGCCTGGGTCAATGGTAAGGAGGGTCCTTTTTTGCAGTGGTGCTTCTTGGCAAGGCCAAGAGAATCCATTCCTGGCTGATTGTTGCCATGGTGGTTTTGCAAGGCTTCAAATCATTCTAAGAGGCTCTGTCTTGATGGTCTGCTTATAAAAGCAATAACTTGCATTTGAATTGATCTGTTTTAAATTTGGCAAAGTCCTTTAGATATTATACACATTTAATCCTTACGAAGATATTGCCAGGAGGTGTTGCGATCATTCCCATCTTCCAGATGGGATAACTGAGGCTCAGAGGGGTTCCATGATTTACCTCTTTTACAGATGTTTCCTATCTGTAATATTTACAGATATTTCCTATGCACAGATAGCAAAGTATCTTGAGGTGGGATTAGGATTTGAACCCAGGTCTTTTGGATGCCCAGTCCAGCATTCTATTGCTTCTCTTATCTGGGTGCATTCTTAAAGATGCATACTGCTTTTCTTAGTGTCTGCTGTGGCAGTGCTCATAGGATGAGCCCTCCAGGAGGGGGCTGGGGAAAGTGGAGCTGAAATGGTGCAGGAAAGGTCTTGTTTCCCATTTCTGAACAGAATAGAGGCCCAGGAAGTAGCCAAAAGCCAAGCTGCTCACCTCGCACTCAGAATTTGTGGCTTCAAGTCCTTGACTGAGCAAAAGTCACCATCTGGCTGGGGAGGCAGATAGCAGGCACCCTCTATCCCCTAGCTCTCTTCTTCTGATACACTGGGTTGGTGGGTGTCTCCCTATTGCCTTTAGGATTAAATATGAACTCCTCTGTCAGACATTTAAATCTCTTCCCAACCAGATATCTGACA